ACCGTTTTTTAAATGATAATATATTAGCAACCTGTTAATAGTTGTCAAGATAAATTTGTTATTTTTTGTCTTGGGAACATACTTGTATAATATTAATTATTCTGAATATATTGTTACAGGATTCAGAAATGACAATAATTGCAGCAGGAGAAGCCAAAGATGAAATGTCAGAGATTTCTACGCAATCAGTAAGTTATAGATTTTTTTCACTACTAATCCATAGTTCGGAAAGACCTTTTATTTTGAATTGAAGGGTTTATATTTTTAGGAGTGATTAATTTTTGGGACAGAAAGTTTTTGGCTTTCTACTACTCCAAACTTTTCCATAAACTTTCTTTCCCAAAAATATTAAAATTTATTTTACAAAATGGTACACAGAAACAAGGAAGATGTCCATAGGGTGTAAAACATAATAATTATAAAACAATACAAATTTAAAAACATTTACAGTCATTTACATATAAAAGGATAGGTAGGTAGGTAAAGAAATAGCTGCCTGGCTAGGATGAAGAATTATTGAAGAATTGATTGATGTTATAGCAGTTTTTTTTATAAGATGGGCTTTTAGACACCCCAAAGTGTTTCTTGTATAACAGAGAGACTTTTTATAAAAATGTGGTATTCAAAAACCAGAATAAGTTGTAAAAAATCAGTATATGAATTTAGATAGAGCTATTCATAAAATGGACAGGATTTTAGGAACGGTAAATGAGTATTTACGCACTAACAAATTAAAGTTAAACGTAACAAAAACAAATGCAATGATATTCACCACGAAATATAAATACAGTTCTCTAGATATCATTGGNAATTTTAAATTGAAATGCTATATAGGTTATCTGATCATCGGAATCATTAGAAGAAGAGGAAGGATCAAATGCAAAATTATCAAATATTCACTCCGAAAAATTCACGTGTAGGTACATATTTTTCGAAATAATGAATTCAGAGAAATATTTTGATCCCAGTTTTTGCAAGACAGGCCATATCATTTTAAATTGGTACCGAACCTTAATATATATCCAATAAATCGCATTCTATTTGAACGTATGTTCATTCGAATCATTATCCGATTATTGAATCAATTATCCACATAATTCGATTATGCTCATCATTAGTTTTAGCTGAATATATTACCACATTTTTTCTAGGCTTATTTTTGAGTCATGAGAATCTTTCCCAATAGAAATTGACGTCAAGATGATGTTTGACATTTGGGGAGTTCTTGATTCAACAAAAAAATTCTGATGAATTGCTTCAACCAATAAAAACGTGCTTTCGTTATGAATCGTCCAAAGATTATTCCATCGGATGTATCGGTAAATTAGGAAAATAGTCTATAATAGAGTATCATCTGCTCTGAATAATTGCGACATCCTATTACAAAGTATGTGTTCCGACTGATTTCTTCTCTAAACATGTCGCAACAAGTACTTATTAGATGACACAACCATACAATATCCATCATTTTCATTCGTTCCCCTCGAGAGTAACTTGTCCACATCACATTATCATTTTTTACTAACAGAAATATTTAGTACCAGTTACAACACCTATTCCAACAAACTATCTATTACATGAAATTTATAGTAGAAAACATCAAGAATGCATGTTTTGATATATTAAAATACACGAACCATTTATATTAACTATACATGAAAAAAAAAATAAGAAAAAATTTGGATACACCGGTTAACGCCATCTGTCTGTTGACAGCATCTTCCATCTGATCATCAATGAAGATACTCACTGCAATTTTCTTTTTTTCCATGACGGTTTCTCAAAGACAGGTTTCACGCCACCAGCTTGCTGAGAATGGAATTTCTGGTTCTGGGCGGTCTCAGTTGACCAAGGAGAGTCGAACTGTGTAGTGTCTTGATCCACTAAATGAGTGTACTTTGTTCGTCCTGATCTTCCAAAGTTCTTAACCTGCATAACTTTAGGAAGAATGGTCTTATCAAAATGATCCTCGAGTGTGGCTTGTGCTAAGTCCCTCTTGTAGACTTCGTCCTCCTTATCCAAGTAAAACGCTCCTCTGTGGTAATATTTCTGCAAATACTTATATTTGCCCTTGGCTGCCTTGTTTGTAACGGTTTTGGGCATGAGTCGAAGCTGAATACGTCGCTCCTCTTCAGACATGGTCCTCAATTTTTCTATTTCCATTTTCTCTCTTTCTCGTTCCTCCTTTTCTTCCCGATCCCTTTTCACTCGTTTCAACTCTCGTAACTTCCATGCTTCATATACCACCTCGTCGTTCTCGTCATCTGTGCAAACGTCATTTAAATCTGGTTCATTTGTTTCCTTATTTCGGAACTGCTGTTCCTTACGAATGGTTTCTTCCACTAGGCGTAAAGTTTCTTTTCTCCTCTCTGCAGCCTTTCGCTGAAATTCCTCCTCTCGTTTTTTCTCAAGCTCATGTTCCTTTTCAATGGTAGTAATCCTGTCTTTTTTTCTGATGAACACAGGTTTCAGCCTTGGCCTCGTCTCTTCCTCAGAGTCTGTATATTCCTCAGATTCTGAAGAATCTGATTCATCTTTGTCTTCTTCTTCAGCCATAAACTCTTCCTCTTGTTTGTTCAGCATCCTCTGCTTCATCATTTCTCTCTTCTTTTCAATTTCACTGTCGCTCAGTTCGGCTTCTGATTCATCAGCGTCTGGCGAAGCTTCCAGAGTATGTTTTTTCCCCGGCAAATGTATTTTGTCACCTTCTTCATCTTCCGACGCATCTAGTACTTCGCCTTCCACAATATGTCTCCTTTTGGCACAGCGTACCTTTGTGTTAACTTCAGCGATTTTCAATCTTCTTAAACGTCGATCGGTAAAATCTTCGTGGTTATCATCTCTTTTAGGCGGCTCTAGTGATGGACGTGATGCGTGTTTCATCCGTCCCACAAAGTCGTCCTCATCACTTTCGATGTTGTAATGAGCATAATCAGGTTTTTTACCAGAAATGTACCGATGAACTTTGACTTTCAGCATGGAACTTTCGCCTTTTTCGTTTCTTACTGGAACAGCTCCAGCTGTGCTTTGAATGGAGTAATTAAAACCAGAATTCATCATCTTGAAGTAATTGTTGGGTTGTGTATGTAGGGTTGAATTTTTTCCGCAAATTCAACAAATGGTAACAGGGTTCTTACTCCTCAAAAATCACTACAAACACTTTCAACTTCGTGAATGCTTTTCTGCGAGTTACAATATACGATATAACAGATGACGTGCTCACAAGCAAAGTAATCAAGATAACTTTAGTTTTCGGTTTATAAGATGTGAGAGATTTCGATATGAGGCGGACTGCCGACTTCTCATTTAGAGATACCTGAAGCTAGAGGTCTCCGTGACGTCATTGATGGTAAATTGATCATGTAGTACTTTGGTTATTAGGGTCAAATAGTTATAATCCACAAATATTATTTTTGCCATTGATTATTATTGATGTATGACCTTTCATGTGTTCCCTAAGCGTTTATTTGTGATAATAAATAATAGCAAAGCTTGGAAATTCGGCTTGTGTGAAAATTTGTAAAAACACCGATTTAATCAATTTGTATATGTGAAACTGAGTTTTAAAAAAGGAGCTGCTCTGAATAACTGCGACATCTTACTACAAAGTATGTGTTCAGACCATTTTCTCTGTATTCATTTTGCAACAAGTCATTATAAGGTGTCGGTACATAATTTTCATCATTAACATTCGTTCTTTCGAAGAGTAACTTCCAATGGTTCATATGCTCTTGTTCCTGATGATTTTCTAGATAGAAAAATATAGATTTAATGAAGGTACGTTTTGTTGCACTAATCTTATTTCATTCGTTTCACTACCCATCGTTAGTCAGTAGACTAAATGTCAGTGTCCAGTGTCGCATGACAGATCTGTCATTTTTCTTTCACAGTTTGAAGTATGTGTTTTATATTTTGATAAAAAATACGTAAATAATGAATACCTAGTAAAATTAAAATTAATTCATTTCTACTTTTTAATATATGTTAAAAATAAATGAAATTATTAAAGAATGGTTTTGAGTCGCATGTTTAAAGTTTCAGAAATATGGTATTTAGTAATAACCTATAAATTTCGGAAAAATTGCAGTCTCTTTTAAATTTCTAGCCTGAAGGAAAATGTATTTCTCCGTAAATCGTTTTTCCAGCCAGATACATCAAGAACTACGAGATGTTTTAGAAAAGGCAGGATACACAAAGAGAAACCAAATGTAAACCCAGAAAGTCTAGCAACACCATTTACAAATGTAGGTGCTGACTGTGGAAATCTTCAGGCAGGAAATCTAGTCAAACCTTTTCTATTCACAGTCGCAGTAAGTAAGCTAAGGCTGACAGTGATTATACATATAGAATATATTACCCACTGAATTAAAAAATGACATGTGTTGAATATTACTCAAAAAAATCGAAAGTATCTTTCGTGGATTGATCAAATCATATTGGATGATATTAAAAAAAAAGGTATGAACTTTATCAAAAATATATAATCTATCAAAGAATCCTGTCAGTATTATAAGTTATGAACCTGAGTTCGCTGACCGAGCATCACTCAGGGATAGAGTTACATCCGCTGTTCCAGATACGACTACATGCTAAGTCGACAAAACGTAACTTATAAATTATTGTTAATTTAATAATCATTCATTCTTGTTACTTTGCCTGAACTATAACGTTGCATTTGTCCAAAATAAAGTCTTTTTAAAAAAGTATTCTCGTATATCACATACGTAGCTAACACCAAACCGCTATTTTAACACCTCGACACCTTCAAGAGGAAGAAGAAACTCAGTAAATTAGTATGCCAAACTAGTTCTTTATAGTAATTTCATTGCTCAATGACCAACTAGATACGTGCTTTGAGGCTTCAAATGATAGCTTAATTTATGGTGATTTTGGCAAGAGTTGCAAAACTTTCTCGCATTTCGATTGTTTGAATTTGATAGCTGGAAAAATGTAGGGAAAAAGTTAGCGATGTGCCGAGTACGGTTTACTCGAGTCAGACTCGATTCCTGCTTTAGAACTCTCCTACTCGAATACCAATTTATTTTGATTCGAGTACGCCGGACTCGATTCCGGTACTCAAGTTAGGAAGCATCGATTCGTACTCGCTAACCCGATTCTATTTATGCGAGTCCAACTGACTCGAGTCTCGTATTCGAATTTNTTATGTATTTTATGTTATGTCTTTGTTATTCTAGCACTGGAATTTATGTAAATACCTGAAATTTTATATTCCATCGATGATGTATCAACTTGGAACGTATTATTTTTGTGTATCAATAATAAACGAATCCAGTTTTCAGGATCTTGCTATCTCGGCGCCGCGATATGGGAGTACGAAAATATGAGGTCGCACGCTGTCAGCATGCTCAGAAAACCGATGAAGTTTTTCAAGAGACAAGCTGATTATGGCGTACAGGCATCAAATTTCATAACGAAAGAAGTGAAAGCCTGGTGGAACCGGCTCACGCCCGGAGAACGAGTTTTCGTGCCGATTTGTGCCCTCAACATTCTAGTATTCGCAGCTTGGAGGATCCCCAGATTCCAACCTGTCATGATGGAATATTTTTGCTCCAATCCTGCCAGCCGGAGCGTCTGCTTGCCGATGCTGTTGTCTACCTTCAGTCACTATTCTGGGTTACATCTGTTGGCAAACATGTATGTCCTTCACAGTTTTAGTACCGGTAATGATTTGGCGATGGATTTCCTACACATTCAATTAATTGAACTCTTTTTAAGGCGCTGTACATAGTTTAGGAATGGAGCAGTTTTTAGCGTTGTATCTGAGTGCTGGTGTTATCTCCAGTTTCACGAGCTATCTCTATAAGATCGTTACAAAACAGCCTGGATTATCGTTGGGAGCTGTGAGTGGATTTATAATACTAGATAATTTATTTAAAGGAGTTATTTGAAGTCTCGCACCCATTTATAAAAGTATAGTGAAGAAAGCAAAGTGTGTGCGAGATATCGGAATTTTTTATTCGTTTGAAAGACCTATCGATGCCATTATATCGTTCAAATGTCCGCCACATGTACCCTGGATGGAAAGCATCTGAAACGTCCAATTTTCTATAACTCTGGCGCATGGGTATGAATATACATGCCCCTGTTAAGACACATAGAATTACAAAGCCTCCTGTACCACCACTGGATTTTTTATAAAGAACTGCGAAACTCCACCTCTAAAGCTATTTTGAGGGAAAAAAGTCTTTTTTAACTCGAAGCTCAGTGTATCTAACAATAAACAATGCTGGAACATATTAAAGAATAATAAAGTTCTACCCGTGGAGGCTAAAACTGTCTCACCAATAATGTTTTTCCTTCAAATTGGAAGAAGGCTCTGATATTACCACTACCAAAAACTACTAATCTTCAAGAACTGAAGTACCTTCGTGCAATAAGCATTTTACCCACGATGTCAAAAGTGCTGGAAATAATTGTTAATCATCAGCTGACGAATTACCTGCATGAAAAATCTATTTTACCACCGACACGATTTGGATATAGAAGAGGACATAGTTGTACTACCGCCTTGCTACATTTTCTCTCATCTTCAGATAAAGGTTTATGTACAGCCCTGATACTTATTGATTTTAGTAGGGCATTTGACACTATAAACTATGACATACTAATGTCAATTTTGCATCATATAGGAATATCTGCAGATAGTGTTGAATTCTTCAATAATTATTTGAGGGGAAGATATCAGAGTGTGACAGTAGCAGCCAATAAGTCGAATTTTCAAGAATTGAAGTCGGAAGTGCCACAAGGTTCAATCCTAAGTCCACTACTCTTTTCTATTTATACCAGCCAGCTCGTTAACTCCCTTGGACATTGTTCTTCTCATTTATACGAAGACGACACACAGATCTATATCTCTTTCAAACCTGAAGACGTTGATAAGGCTTGTGCACAAGTTAATAAAGACATCAATAATTTAGTTGAAACTGCAACTGATCATTGTCTAGTTAACAACTCAAGAAAGTCAAATGTTTTGATATTTGGGCCAAAAAATGGACTATTTATGGAAATAGAAATTTTCTAACAAAAACAACAAAAATAATGTTAAGTAATAGTTTAGTTTTGTCTACCCTGAATATTGCTGATTCAGTGTACGATCCCTGCTTAACGAAAGCATATGAGCAAAAAATCCAAAAGATTCAGAATTCATGTTTACGTCTCATTCATGGGGTTCTAATAAATTGGTTGAAACGGGTTGGTTAAATATGGCAATGCGTATGCGGTTGCATGCAGCATGTTTATTTCACAGAATAATCATGACAAAGATTCCGATTTACTTATATGAAAAAATTTCATTTCGAACCGATGTTCAAACAATCAATATTCGATTTAAAGGTATTTTAACATCACCAATTCACCATCATGAATTCTTTAAACGGTCCTTCAGTTACCAAATTGGCTACATGTACAACGGTATTCCAAACGAAATTAAAAAAATGAATGTGACTAGTTTTAAGTACTACTATAAGAATGTTTTGTGGAAGCAATAAACCAGAGCAATGAACAAATTTACATAATTGGCTGTCTTTACCACTCGCTAAATTCCAGTCATTCTGTATTTCTGAGTGATTTTGAAAATATGTGTGAAACTTTGTTCAATCCCAAATATAAATGTGTTCTTGCTGGAGACTTCAACTTGAATTTCCTTAGTAATGAATTTATTGCACAAAAATAAAAAATATGTTGAACAATGCTTGGAACTGAACAAACTGTAACTCAAATAACCAGGAGTGCTCAATATAGCAACAACATTGTTGACTATGTACTAACCAATTTTGATGTTAATACTGTCGTTCATGATTTCCCAAAGTTAACTGATCATTTATTAATAACAGTCAATTTGAGTAATTGCAATAAATATATAGCACAAAATATCACAAAAACATACAGAAACCTCAATTATTGTAATATGGACAGGATTAATTTGAGTTTGATTTCATGTAACTTTTTGTTGAGCTGTGTTGAAGTAGATATATTTTATGAAGACTCCAAAAGTCAGTGTGAGTCAGTTGTTCAATCAATTGCACCAGAAATATCATACACTTTGAAGTCAAATAGTGTACTATGGTATGACAACGAGGTTAAAATACATTGTGACAAAAGAGGTTGGGCTTAGAAGATGTTCAAAAATAATAGAACTGATGAAAATTGGAACCACTATAAATTTCTTTGAAATAAATGTGTGAATTTACTGAAACTCAAAGAAAAAAAACACTATTATGATAAAATTGATGAAAATAGGTCAAATCCGTGGATTATGTGGAAAACACTCAAACAGCTTGTAAGTCCAAAAACAATATTTGTATAATATTTATGTATATTAGGATATCTATTTCTGTTTCTATAAACATTCATCAATTGTAATTAATACTATCACTAAAATATCCCTGATGGTTTTGAAAATATTGAATAATTTCCATTTTGTTCTTAAAGCTTTTAACACCTCGTATTTTCTTAACGAAACACTTTGGGATTATAGTTTATATAGCAACCTATCATTCGCATATTATTAAGGAACACCCTGTATAATAAACACAAAATAATTCCCGTTAGCAAACTTTGAAGCAATAATTACTCAAAAAAAAAAACTCCACACTTTTGGTAGTCACCTTTTGTATAGCCATTGTATTGTTTCAGTCGGGAGCTATCATGGCCATTTTGGGATACGTATGCACCCAGTACCCCGACACTCGCCTGGGTATAATATTCCTACCGATCTTCACCTTCTCAGCAGGAGCAGTAAGTAACCTCTCTTCTTTTTATCCTATGTTGGTCTTTAAACATCTCTTTTCAAGGCAATAAAATTCATTATCGGACTCGACACGGCCGGTGTCCTGTTGGGGTGGAAATTTTTTGATCACGCCGCCCATTTGGGGGGAGCAGCTTGTGGAATGTAAGTGAAGATTCGGTTGTAATGTGGCCACTGCAATTGGCGGTATTTTTGTTGCAGATTTTGGGCTATGTGGGGCAACCAGCATCTTTGGCAGAAGCGTGAGCCTGTGCTACGCTACTGGCACGACATCAGAGGGGCCATCAAATGATTCGAAACTAATTTCCAGTGACTTATATCCAATTATAGATTAATGAAGTCTAGATATTGTTTTATTGAATATTTACGGTAGCATTGAATGACAATAATATGGTGGTGACTCCTTCTAGAGCGCCATCTATGGGTTGATAGAAAACTCAAACCAAGTTATCAAACCAAGTGCCATCTATGGGTTGATAGAAAACTCAAACCAAGTTATCCAGAATCAAGAGGGGGTAAAGTGTCATTGCCTTTATTTTTCAGTGGGGTATATAAATCAAGAAACAGATAATAACATTTTATTACAGTTTGCTTGTCAGATGCTCAGAATGGTATTTTATATGTTCACCAATGAAGGTCGCAATGTAAAAGTAGCTGTGATTGTAGCCCTCTCTCTTCTTCAAAATAGCCGACACACCTGCGGATTTACAAGCTTCCAGCAGATTCTCTGGCAAAAGTTCCTTCTTCTCCAAGAAATTGTCTGCCAAACCCTGAAAACTTCACTGAGTACCTAATTTCAACGAGACACCTTTTACTTACCTGATCTAACAGCAGTTCAAGTGGAGGCCCATTATATTTCTTTACCAACTCTGTGGCATCCCATTCGCTCCAAGATCCGGTCTCCTTGGGCCCCAAATACCCCGTGAATGCCTTGATTCCCCAGGGACATTGCGAAGGGTTCGATATAGCTGAGAATGTCGATACGGATTTGAACATTCCAGGGTTCTTCAGAGAACATACTAGTGCTCCGTGACCTCCCATACTGAAATCATGAACCTTCTAGATACAAGCAACCCACTCGCTTTTAGTTGTAACAGGAGTAGAGTAGACAATTCATTGAACATTTGGCAAGTCAGCCACTGTTCTGTACTATTATAGTCTATTATCTTAAGCAGCTGACTGATGAATAATTTTCAAGTGGCTGTAGGTGTACGTATATGAGTCAGTTGAGGAGTGAAAACTGTTAAGAACAGTTCATTAATTAATAATGGTGACCTTGAAGAACAAAGTATGTCTCCAATGAAAGAAAGAAATTGTGGAAAATTATAAAGAAATTCAATTTCAGCTGGGAAAACAAAACAGAAAATCGCTCTTCATCAAAAATTATTTGTTGAAGGAGACATTACTGGATAAAAGTTGTTTGCTGGATAAGGAAAGGGATTGATTATTACCCACATTGAATGTGTTTGAGAAATATTTTGAGCCAATGTTAGATTTTGTATTCCAATATGAACATTTCTTCGAACAAAAAAAATGTTTCGTGGAATTTTGCAACTAACCTGTGCCCCATGATGGATTGCTGCCCCACGGCAACTGGAAAATTGTCATTAAATTTGCCTCGGTGCACGTAAGACCTGACAACCAATAAATTACTGGTAGTTTTTTTTCCTCGGCCTGAGGAGGTAGATAGACACCAAATTTCATTGTACACCCAAGCTCCTTAGAGTCGTGGGAGAAAACTTTTTGGACTCCTCCGAATGATTTGTTCGAAGATACTTCTGTTAGAGCCATCTGTAAAAAATGTGATATGATACTGCTTTTACCTTAATGGGTATCTTTACATTTTTTAAGAAAAGCGATATAAATAGTCTCATTATAGCTTTCTGTTGACGATGGATTATGCCACTTTCATCTGAACTGGACTAGAATGAGTTCATTTTGGAAATGCCTCTAAATATTTTGAATATTGAAATCAAGATTTAAGCAAATCGATGCTGATACATTTTGTTTATTTCGGATTTATTTTGAAAACTCACCTTGTAAGAGAAGTACTCTTTCGTTATACCACGGAAAAGTATTCTGAATTCAGAAATTATTAAAACTCTTTCCTTTATACTGATTTGCGAAAAAAGTTCATAGGTTAAGGGGAAAGGTTAAGGTCGAACGTGTCAGTATCAAATGAATTCAATTCGACTATTAAAAATGCTAGATAAAAATCAAGATATTTTGTTTATTATAATTTTTTATTTTCTCCGAAGGAAAAGTAAATCGTAGTATTTTTTCAAATAAATAATTTGAACTTCACTCAATCTCTTGCCTGAGCTGCCATTCCTGCTAAAAATTATTCGTACTCCTTACTCAATTAACATACATCGAGCAGTGATAGGGAATGATTTAATCTGGATGCCAACAAAACACAACCATTAACAGTGTCTAAAGACAGACGAAGGACGTAAGTATACTTTGAAATAGCCAATGATTTTTTTATAACCCGCTTTGTAATAGTAGATCGTATTTTGCATTTCTCTGGAAAAAGAGGAGGCATTTTATATTATAATGTTGGCTACTCTTGATCTCAAATTCATTGCAAACTCTCAAATATATCAATATCAAATCGTTATAAATTCATTTATTCTGATCTTCTGTTATTCTGATGTTCCACTAAATATTGAAGTAACGTCGTACTTAAACTACGAATAATGTTAGAACTTAATTTTAAACAAAACAATCTCTATGGTTTAAGATAAATGTGTTGCATGAATGACAAGAAGAGCAGATTGTCACTCTTGAGGTTTGTCATCCTGGTTTTTTTTCTGAGAGTGAAAATAGTGGAAGTAGTTTGCTGTTGTAATGGGTTATTTTCATTCATAATGGCTCGCAGAGTGCAGACCCATGCCTATTCTAGCTAGTCGTAGTTCATAAGAACCATCGAAACATACTTACCAGCTGGTATGTCAGTACTATAGAAATTATTCCTGTCGTTCACGTGTGTAAAAAAACATAACCTCCACTATGACAACTATTCCACTTGCAGGTAATTATTTGAAAATATGAATCGATGATATCCTAATTTTCAATGTATACTTTCAGCTCGCAGTTCTTCGGGCATTGAACTATCTCAGGGACCACCCAATTTCGGAAAAGTTCAGGAATTTGAGCCTTTTAAAAGCAAGTCATGCCGAACTATGTTGTTCAGCCCCGACGGGCAGTACCTTGCCTACGTGAGTGGGAAAACGTGAGTTACATCCACAAAGGATATATGGAATGAATGAATACACTTGAAATCAATGGGAATTCATTAATAAGTTTATTTCAGGTTAAAAATTGTACAAACAGTGTCTTGGCAGGACGTAGCAACTATTGAAGATGTTAAAGCTTACAATTTGGCATTCTCACCTAAAAGTACCTTTTTAATGTGTTGGGAACCATTTACTGTGAACAGTGCCAACCCACAGGGTAGCCCCAACCTGAATATCTACAAATCGGAAAACGGAGAGCTTGTGAAGAGATTTGTACATAAGAAGCAAGGAAATTGGTAAGCCTATCGGTTGAAATTATTAGATTCAAATAATGCCTTGTTTCTTTGCAGGGAACCTCAATTCAGCGCTGACGAAAAATTATTTTCTCGAATGGTGAATACAGATGTAGTGTTTTACGAAGACCTCAACTTCGAGAGGATTGTTGCTAGGATAAATTGTTACAAGGTTGCTTCCTACTCTTTGTCACCCAACGTCGGTACATATTTTCTTCTCTGTCACACTCCGGGCAGCCCTGGTCAACCATCTTTTGGAAGGTAATGCCCATTTTTGTTAATTTTGATTTTCTAACATAATGGGGAACGTTCCTCAATTTGGGATATTACAGCCAATGCAAGTTTGAACAAAATAAAGTTGAGGTCAATTCATGAGTTTTTCAAATTCACATTGAAAAGTATTCAAATTGATTCACATATTGCCAACAGCGCAACAGCAAGTTGAAATAAAAAAGGAAAATTATCTTTATAAATCATCAATTAAGGCAAAATATAAATTATAGTTCAATACCAATTTTTTGTATTCAAACACTTCATTATCGCTTTAGGTAAGGAGGGACCGATATATAGTGTCAGCTGGTCTCCGAAAAATCAGGAGTTTTGCGTTGTGTATGGATTCATGCCTGCCAAAGCAACGATTTTCAATTTGAAATGCGAGCCTATTTTTGAATGTGGATCAGGTCCGAAAAATTCTATATACTACAACCCGCATGGGAATATTCTGTTGCTGGCTGGATTTGGGAACTTACGGGGGCAGATAGAAATATGGGATGCCGTGAACAAGAAGAAAATTGGTGAGTGAAATTTGTCGTGTAACAATCATTACACTGTCTCTTCCGCGGATTTTAATGCTGATCAGACGAAAGTTATTAATTTTGTCTTATATTTGTAAGAATTATTTTTTTAGTGTTGAGCTTTTTTATGAAGAACAGATCCAAAATTGAACAGAAGGCATATTAAAACTCTCTAGTTTTCACATTACATTCAAAAGAAAAGTTTACTGCCCAACACATAAATCCACGTACAGGACAATATACTATATATACTAGGTCTGTTAAAAAATAAGGTGAATTTTCATTTTTCTCAAATATTTATTGATTCATCATTTTCTATTTTGTGTAACATATCTTCTCGATCTTATTTTTTGAACAGATGTTGTATGGTGAATATATTTTTCTCAATTAAGTTTTTTAATTGTATTTCCATAGACTTATAACAATAGCTGAATAATTCATAGAAGAATATATCAAGGATATATCATCAGCAAATATTACACTGTGACATAGCTTTATATAGATGTAGAAATCATTAATGTAAATAACGAACAAAAGCGGACCCAAAACCGATCCCTGCGGTACACCTAGGTCCATCGGCCTCAGCTCAGAAAATGTATTGTTATAAAACACTCTCTTACCTGAATAATCGTTTCCAGAGGGTTTTTTATAACAATAGAACTAGGCTACCGCCATTCAAGAACAGCTTATTTCGCTTTAATAGATCCCCATATTAAATATGGAATTGCCTTCTGGGAAGTCTGTTCTAGAGATTTGTTTCAAATGATTTTTGTGCTCCAAAAAAGGTCTGTCCGATATATGTGCAAAGCAGCTCCCAGGGATCCATGCAAGCCTCTTTTCATAGCTCACGGTATTTTAACAGTAGCTGCCCTGTTTATCTTGGAATCAATTTGCTTGATAAAAAAAATAATTCTTGTGCATCTCCCCCTTCCTCATATAATACTCGTAGCCACAATAGTAACATAGATCTGCCTATTCCTGCGAGCTCCCTTGTTAGGGATTCCATTATATTCAACGGGATCAAACTGTTTAACCACTTACCGGCCCGAATTAAAGAAATTTTGGTGCTTAACAAATTCAAAAAAGCAGTTAAAATGCTACTTGTTGATAGGGCCTATTATTCAGTTCAGGAATATCTTGACGATTCACTTGAATCTTAACTTTTATTTCTGTCTTTTTATTTCCAGCTGAATATCTCAGTGTATTTCACATTTTTAGCTTGTGTTTATTGTATTTTGTTTAAACTGTTTATGTTTTTTATGTAGCTTTTTGTATCTTATTATTTATGACTTTGTCTACAAGATGTAGTTTTTCAGACAATAAAGTATATTTGATTGATTGATTGAATACATTTTGTGAGCAGAGGTTGATTGACCTAGGTGTACCGCAGAGATCGGTTTTGAGCCCGCTTTTGTTCGTTATTTACATCAATGATTTCTACAACTATATGAAGCCATGTCACAGTGTACTATTTGCTGATGATAGGTTGACTATTTTTAAAAGCCTAATACAACCTCATTTTGATTATTGTACAACATTACTTTTTCTACTTAGTAAAAATAAAATAGCGCAATTGCAAACGCTTCAAAATCGGGGCATGCGATTAATATTGGGATGTAGCCGTTACTCAGCAATTAAATTAATGTTATAGTGTCTAAACTGGTTTTCAGTTGAAGAACGTATATTATATATGACTATGATCTTTATATTTAAGCTGCATAAAGGAGTGCTACCCAATTACTTTCAAAAATTCTTATTGAGAAATAATGAAGTTCATGATTACAATACGAGAAGAAATAACAATTTTTACATCAATAAAACTAACACTAAATTTGGAATGAATAGAGCCTTCTTTGTATGTTTCCTCAAGCCTATTAGATATTGAAAAGGGTCCCCTTGTTTCCTAAGCAATCCAGTTCACACAATTATGATACACTTAACAGTAATTTTATTAGACCTCAACGTTTCAGGCTGATGAAATCACAAAAAAACTCCTATGCTTTTAAATTGTATAATGCACTTCCTGCCAATATTAAAAGTATGAATATGTTTTGTTTTAAAAAAGTTGTAGAAAAATATTTAAAATTAACTGTCTTTATTCCACCTCAGAATATTTAGAACATGTGCGTAGACACATTTTTGACGCAAGGAAGATGCTCGCCGAATTTCCATACTTAATTTGAATATGTTATAATGTACCCTGTAAACTTGTTACAAATTTTTACTGTTTATTTTATTTTATAGAAAACTTTATACCTTGCACCTATTTGTTTTTCTGACTTGTCATAAATGTATTTTATACATGACATGATCAAATAAATATAGCTACTATCTATCTAATAATTTAGCTTCCGAAAAACCCTTATAAATCAAGAGACCTGAATGTTTCATCGTTATTTCTCTCTCTGTCTCATATTCAATACTTTCAAAACGAAAAACATAAATCCTAACTTGCTCTAATTGAGAGTGATCATTGACCATCGACTTTTGTAAAATCAGTAGTTTAACTATGCGTGTCTGAGCTGCATTACTCCAAGACAAAAATAGCATACTGAAGGTGTGAATGTCAATACCTTTGACAAGAAAACTATAAAAAACTTTTTTTTTGTTTAGCCAATTGTGATGCTCCGGACACTACTTTGCTCCAATGGGCGGCAGACGGGGAGCACTTCCTAACCGCCACCACTGCGCCTAGGTTAAGGATAGGTAACGGATACAAAATTTGGCATTACTCCTCTGCGCTTCTGTTTGAGAAGCCCTGGGCACAGCAGGAAGAACTCTACGATGTCACTTGGCAGGTGAATACCGTCTCTTGTGTTCAAATGTGCAGATGTTTTCAGTGTATCTCTTTTCCAGAATTTCCCAAAGCTAACTTTCCCGGAACCCAAGTTGGTGATGAAAAAAGTGGAAGGCATCGCACCTAGTCAGCCACAAGCTTCGACTCAAGCTTACAGGCCTCCGTCCGCACGTAACAGACCTGCAGTGAAGTTCAGTCTAGATGACGATGAAGACAATCCTCAAAAGTCCGGTAAGAAGTTGTATTGATGAGGAGATGGTTTAGAAATTGGAGTTTATTATCGTAGAGGGTATTTCTGAAGTCATCTTCAATATTTATAAGGGAGACACAATTCATATATGAAAATGAAATTTCACAAAAAAAAAATAGGAATAATTTTGATTGCGTTCAACATTTTTATATGTCTGCCCATGTTAATCAACTTTTTATTATATTTTCATCAGAGATATATAAATAAGACATTACTTTTGATAAAATCAGTTGTTTTCTCTTTAAATGTTTTTTTGGTGGAAAAACAAAGAAAACATTTCTTTGTTACTAAACCTGGATATGGTGCAACCAAGACTTGCATTCATCTTAGGACTGTCAAGGACAGATATGCAACTCAGTGTTCGCCGTGGTATTAGCCAGGAATGTTGTTTTCTAGCAGATCCTTCTAGAAAAGTGGGGAAATGGATTTGTTGATTTTTTTTAAGTTTTCTGTTATGAAAATCGATTTATAAAAAATCACAGCTAAATGTACTTCAGTGAGCAATTCATTAATTTATAATTATTGGTTATTTAATACCTAGTTACTTTTTTTAAACAATAAGTTATAACTAATCACTTTCAAATTTCTATATTCATCAATAATTTTATAACACTTCATTTTGTTTTCCAATTTTCAATGGTAATTTCCTCAGATAGAATTATCATTAATCTCGATATCTACCACAATCAGAATACATTTTATGAGACAAATTTATTGATGAAATTGTGTAACTGTAACATTATAATTCTTCCTTGGATACAAATGACTGCATGAAAAAATATTCAGTTTAAAATAATCTGTCAAAACTGTCAATGAGTTAATCAGCCCAAGACATTATTTGTCTCTAGACGTTTGTACAAACCACAGGACAGTAATTTTTGACAGATGAAGTTGACATGAATACGAGGGTAGGGAAAAATTCATGTATTTAATTGGATTCGTTTTTCTGGATTCTTCTGCATCATTTGAGATTTATTTAAATATTTTATTCAGGTAAAGACCCGGTTCCATCCAAGGCAGCACTGAAGCAGAAGAAAAAACGAGAGGCAAAAAAAGCAAAGAAGATAGAGGAAGAGATCTCGGAGCTGCCGAAACCACCACCTGTTATTAGTAATGTCAAAATAAGTTTAACTGGTGATCCGGATCTGGACAAAAAGAAGAAGAATATTAAAAAGGTATTATTTGAAGCTTTCGTTTCTTAACCTCAAAAAACAAAAAATGTTTATTCCTTCGCAAGAAATGTCTCACGAAAGTATTCATTCTTCTTGTTGTATTATTTTCAGAAACTGGATGCAATAGAGAAACTCAAAGCGCAGCAAGCCCAGGGAAAAACTTTGGAAATCAATCAGCTCGAGAAAATCAAAGCAGAAGCAGACCTTTTGGAGGAGCTGGAAGCTCTTTCAGTGTGATTTTTTTTTACTAACTTATTTTCAATTTACATTTTTACTTTATTTGAAAGGTATATTTTAACAAAAAAAGTTGTGTTATGTCCAATAGATTATTCTATTAAAAAAATTAAAGACTATATGAGTTTTTCTTTGTGATTACTATATTATAGCTAGTTTTTTTAATTATTGTTTTTTTTTTTCCTGTTATAAACATTGTATGTTTCTTGGGAAAATAAATTGTTATTAGATAAGGTGAATGTATATCATTAAGTTGCTAAAAAAGCAGTTTTCAATTTTTTTCAAAAACATTTTTTGTGGAAAACCCTAGAAATGAAAACTTTTTTTTTTATTTTGGATTTCGTGGAACATTTGAAATACACACAAACACACTGGAGAAAACAATAATATATTTATGGAAAACAATAGCTATAAAAGAACACAACCATATGACAAAAAAGAGTTGCTAATGCCTTAAAACTGCATATAAAAATATGTAATATAAATTTGTACAATATCATGGAAAAAACATCCATTCTTCAGATTCAACATTCTATCTGTTGACACTATGAGATTCAACAAAAAACAAGTGTATACACAGTCAACAGTAACGGTGGGTGCAACAAATTTTCAAGATTCTCGATGGTATCGTTTTTGGCAGTCTTAGATAATTACATAAAAACTTTCTTTTGCATCACTGACACAGCAGATCAAGGAAATACACCTAAAATCTATCGAAATAAAATGTTTCATAAAAATTTCTAGATCTCTCAATTCGTTTTACAAATGAGTGAATAAAAAAGCCCCCTTTAATCTAAAGGTTTCTTTCCAAACTGAATTACCTACCGTCTTCGATTATATAAACCAAATCTGACACCGTCAGGATTTCACAATTATTCACCCTATATATTCGAGAGAATATTCGTAGACTAATATAAAAATTCGAATGCCTTCTTAGGAAAAGAAATGTAGCAGATTCCCATTACGATCCTAATCGACAAAACCAGCCCAGTTTTTTTAGAATCACAGTTGCATAAAGAGCAAAGCATTAACAAATAAATGAATGTTATCATACCCTAACAGTTCCATTATTAATATCATTATAAATTTGTGGAGAGAGTTTTTCGTAAATGCCTGTAGAGCTACTCAAGTAATAAATATTATCACTGATTTTTGATGGGTCGAAGCCTTCATTTTGCAAGTCGTTCTTCTTCATTTTATATGTACCTATAAAAAATTGAAAAATAAGTGAAAAAAATTATGAATTTATTTAAGATTCGTAGAATTTAAGAGACTAAATTATTGCCACAGATTTCTGGCGACCGTGGCCTTATAATCGGAAAAGAAGAAGTCTTTGAGTTTGACGCTATTCTTTTTTTTCCTTTTTATGGCCTCAGCTGCCAGAGATAATCGACCGGTGACACCAATAAACTGTTTATTGAAGATATAAAAGGAACCATATTTTGGCGTGAAGTTATTTCAATTTGTTTGAAGTCATTGCAATCAGTTTGTCAATGACCAAAGGATGTTTCGAATGAATGAGCGATGCGAGGGGGTACTGTCATTAGTTTTGCCAGACAAACATATTATATCTATGATATTTTTAGTTAGATGTATGTGTTTTCCCAACATCAATGGCAATAATAAACATTTTGATTTTAAACATAAATAAATGATTATAGAAGGTCACGTTGTCGTTTGTGAGAGACATATTTTTAAAAGCAATTTTTTTGCGATTCTGTGTGATGACGTTGATACAAAAGGATGTTTGGAATATCATCCTAGGGAAAAAATATGGCTTAGCTCTAACAAATTTTTCGACGACTCAAAAATAAACAATGTAGAAAATACAATATTGTACCTGTCAAATCAATTTTTCCGAGGATCCTCACGAAAATGGGCCTAGCGTACGTCGGTACTGTTTTCTTCAAGCCATCGACTAATTTCTTCAAATCGATGCTTTCTTCCGGATCCAATATGGCCGCCATTCCAGCGCGACCTTCCTGGCCCCTGATCTCAACTCCGTAAACCACGACATCTTTGTAATCCACTAAATTGCTTATAACTGCCTCAACTTCAGACGTTGATACGTTTTCTCCTTTCCATCTGCAAATGTCCACAAATCAAATCAAAATATTCGACCCATTTCGTACACAAATTATTTTAGTAGTGACAATCTTCTGGAGAATTCAAAGCGAATGATTTTGAAGTTAGATTACTTCCATAGACGGAACAGGAACTATAATGAATATTCTTGTTACCAAGAAAGTGTAAATGAGCGGCGAAAACCTGACATTTTAAAATTGACTCTCCAAACTTAAATCCAACAACTTTGGGTAGCCATTAATGTCCTCAAAAGTGACCAAGATATATAAAACTTCTCCTTTTCCTTGCACGAATCTAAAGATTTTGCTCACAGAGGGACCAACTGATTGTCGGTTGAAATTCTTTTGTTATATGGAAAAACTATTTGAATCTGTTATAATGAATATCCCTCGTCTTCAAACCCACACCTACGAATAACAATCTGAGTAGTAAGCTCTTCTTACCTAAACGTATCTCCCGTCCGATCCTTGAAGAACAAATTTCCTAACTCATCCGCTACCAATATGTCTCCCGACAAAAAGGCTGAATCGCCGTGATTGAAGACGTCATGAACTATCTTCTTTTTCGAAGCCTCCTCGTCGACATAACCTAAAAACGCTCTGGAAGGATTGTTAGGAATGATTTTCCCGATGAAAACTCCCGGTTCATTCGGTTTGCAGGGCATGCACAGTCCTTTGGCGTCCCTTACAGGTTCGCCCGTATACGGATCCACTTTTATAATGGAAATTGGGTATACGGAAGGGATTATTCTGGAGATGAAGCCTATCGATCCGACGGTATTATCGATGTTAACTGAAAATCAACAAATCTATTACATTTCCTGACGTTTCATCAGCTCAAATAGTGCGAATCAACATATCTCGGAGATATTGGTCCTTCGAGCCGGATAATTCCAAAATGAAAATTTGAGATGACATACTGTGTATTTCTCACCTATATTAGCATTTCCTTCCGTAGCTCCATAGAATTCTCTCACGTTCGATATGTTGAATCTATCGACGAACTCGGTCCAAATCTGGGGTCTCAATCCATTGCCGAATATCACCCGCAAATTATGATCTGTATCTGTGTCTTTCGGAGGTGTTGCCAAAATATACCTACACATTTCTCCAATGTATTGTGCGGCCTGGAATCAAAGACATCAACTAGGTTTCAATATCTTTTCGGGATTCTCAATTATTCAATACTTTATGAAATTCATAATGGATTGATTGAAATTTTTGAATGTTACAAGATTTTAAATTTTCTCACAATAAATTGTTTCATTATAAGATGTTCACCCAGTTGTTTTGAATTTTTGGCTTTATATATTTTTAGGCATTCCAAATGAGTACTGACTCTTAAGAGTTCTTTCTCATATAAACAAAAGATGATATCTAAATGTATTCTTTTAATTCACCTTCATATTCACATATTAGCAAGTGTATATTCTTTTACAGCATAGTTCAATGAAATTTTTTAAATTTGGTAACATAATTTCAGTACTTAGCAAAGTTCAGGTCTCTGCTCATTCTCCAATATCGTTGAAACCTTATGTGTAACAAATAACTATCGCGTACCACAGGGATCGGCCCTTGGACCTCTCTTATATACAGGTTAGAAATATTTTTCATTTAATGACAGTACGTACAAATAATGGATTATCTTCCACAGTATGTGGACGTTTTTAATAAATTCCCTTTGAATGAGTGTGAATTACCTAACAAGTGTTTATTCTTGAGAACTTTAAAAGGCAGGAACACTAAATACGTACACCAAACAAAATTTTTATATAAAGTGACCAATATTGATAATTATATGAAATTTGGTATTGAAACGTCAATTATTTGGCTTCTGTAGACTGGCCATCAAATGTCAAGTGTCAAACACCCCTATAAGAATGGTGTATTTGATATGATTATATATTTTTTTGGTAGTTTATCATTAAATATTTTTGATATACTTCCAGTGTTAAAATGGTTCAATATTTGTATTTAAAAGAATTTGAAAACTGATTCAATGCATATAACGGTATCCAAAATTCAAATTTGGACCTTTTTGAACTAAAAACACAGATGGATGAATGTATTGAACTTTGCGAAATCAACAAAATGAAAAGAAACACGCATTTCTTCCACAACGGAAAGCCATTCTTCTTCTTCCTGACATGTTAGCCTAATTATTGATTTTTTCATTATAAAATTTCATATAATTACGAATATCGATCACTACCGCCTCAAAACATTCGAAATGAATAATAAAAACTGTTTCGTATTGATTTTTTTCATAAACGGACCAGAAAATGTCAGAGGAGTTTCAGTCGAAAAACGATGTTGGCAACACTTACGGGAATAAATGTCACATTTGCTGATGAGTGCAAACCACGCGAGAGGGCGCGGAGGGTAACCAGTTCTTGTGGTTATTTCGTTATTTACATACATTTAAAGAAGGGAGGTTTAAGACCTGCAATACTAGGGAGGAAGGAATCAAGCAGAAATGTGACAAGTGCTGCAGTTCAGTTTCATGTTCCATTTTGTGGATTTAGAAACTTGCGTTTCCATAAACTTATGACTCTGAAGAATGATTCTCGATATGTGCTACCATTTTTTAAACATATGAGAACTAAAAATAGAAAATTTAAAAAATGTGAAAAATAATACTAAAACGATAACAATTCAGATAAAATAATGAAAGAACCTACTAACCGTGCATTTGTATTTGCGACAATCAGCGAAATACCCTGACGCAGAAAACTTTTTTCTTATTACTATAGTTGATCCATATAATAACATTTGGCCTACTGTCATACAGCCGCCTGCAGTGTGATACAGCGGCAGGGGAGTGTAAAAAATATCTGAGTTGGTAAAATTTGCTAAATGGTGAATAGCGGCCGCAATAAACATGTATCTGAAAAACAATAGTTACATTACAAATAATACCGAGTAAGTATATTCGGCGATGTCTAAAGCGCATTCACTAGAGAATTCGCTAATTGAGCCTTTGAAACAAATTTGTTAAATATTGGTTGACTAATAATGCACACTAAACATCGCTGAATGAACTTACCAAGTATAAATCGAATATTTTACTAGCGTCTAGAGACCACAGCCGCCTCGCATTAGCTCATCTATTATTAATCAACATTATTTATACAGAAATCAGTGCTACACTCGGAAGAATTGTTGATGATACTAAAATAAGGTAATATTCTATTGTAATTGTTTTTTTAGAATCTACCTGGTTTTCCAGAACCATCATTTATCGTGTAGCAAAACGGGAATTAAATGAAATTTAAGGTAAACAATGTAAAATTATATTATCATGGATAGTGTTAATAATTTCCATCAAGTAATGAGTCAGTGTATTCATAAAATTATTGTTTTCAGGATTTGTATCATGTACCTCAGGGTTTAAAATTGCACGACTCGTACGCCACACCGGTGTATTTGATAGAGAAGTGCAATTGGTGATGGTGCATTATTGGAACTATCTGATCTGGTGATCCTTTATGAGTAGATGCGAGGCGAATGTGGTCTTGTAAATATTTTCAGCGATTCTTCAATATAATGCTATGCCACATAAGTACCGGGAATTGGTCAATGTCAAAGAAGCTCCTTTCCGTAATAATACACCCAAGCCAGCGACCAACTCGATCATCAACATATTCTTTGGAATCGACTTCAGTAGTCGAATTTTGATTCCCCTTTATGTAATACATCGACTGAAAACGGGGGTCTCGAAGTGGTAATTTGAGTTTTGGCCAGAAATTCGTTCATAATAATAGCCTTGTAACAGCCTGGCCACGGGACACTCGTCGATGCGAATATTCGCGCGGTGCGAACGGCGAAGCGTCTAGCGACTGAAACAAACGCATAGAAAGGTACTTATGAAGCCACGCGCAACGGCGACATGTAGCGAGCGAATCGCGTAGACGACTTGCGGCGCAGCCGGCGAGCAAAACAAATGCATGAGCACGGAGTCGAGCGGTAGTCGCGGCGAATAGTGCAGTGATCAAACGAGTTTATTTGTTTTCGCCGCGAAAAATGAACACCGAGACTTTCATTGCTGAATAAAAGACTGATCAAAAAGTTAGAAATTCATTATTCATTCTACCGTCAATTACAAGTTAGAATTTGTTTTTTGTTTTAGTTGTACAAAAAATTACTGTCATATAATTTAGATTTTTGCAATAAATAACATAAATATCTGAAAGTGTTTTCATTTCATGAAATAATAATATACCGAGTAACATTTAATTAGCTGTTAATATTATGGGCAAAGATAGTTATTGTCAAAAACAATTAGCGGCACTTAAAATTCTATTCGCAATAACTTTTTTCTCCAATTCTGGTTGAATATTCATAAGAATATAATCGAAGGTTTCAATAGGTACTCATTCTGGTATACTCAAAACATTTTTCTGGATATAATCTGTATTTCTCGTATTTCTTGTAGAATTCTCCATCTATAACCCGGTTCTAATTCAAATCATGTACTCTTCCAAATATTAGGCCTTGAACCAAAAAACTATTACTTTCTAAGCAATATCGAGATAATTTCAATAAAGACATTTCGCTGTCGGACTATTGGTCGCGACGGCGAACGTGACTGCCCGTGGCCTGCAAACGGTGTCGCGCGAATGATCGCCTCGCTCCCCGCTTCGTTGTTCGCACCGCCGATCCCCTTGGCCAAGTCGTAAGATAGTGCGTTGTAGTGGTGCAAAATTCATGAGTTTTCTTTCCACACATCTGATCTTTTTCGACGAATTAGCTCTTTCAAGCGCCACATATGGCTCAGTTGGAAGACGGCTTCCAAAGCTTGTCGACTGGTTTGTATATAAAATTCGTGTATGAATTTCGTGTCTCATTACCAGTTACATGTGGGGTCGGAATCGACTCGTTCTAACATATCTTCAAAGGCCTTTTCGAGATTGAGTTTCTGAAGAAAATTCACGTCTTTTGCCACAAGTCGAGCAGCAACACGTTTCAAGACTAAAGAATCATTCGAAATGGTACGAACTGATTCGTGAAACTTCAGCGTCTATCGCTCTTGACCTTGAACGACGACTTGCAGTCATCATTTCTTTTATTTAGCGATGTGAAGTTCCGTTGCGAATCTTGATGGCCGACCAAAGCGAGGCAAATCTCCCACTACATCTCGACCGCTTTTGAATGCACTGTACCACTCATACGCACGCATTCTTGATTAAGTCGATTCACCGTAAGTCTTTTGCAATTATTTTCAGCGCTTCGGCACACGAAATTCAATTTGCAATGCAAAATTTAAGACAAATTCTTTTGATATTCTTATCTATTGTAAAAATTGCAAAACACGTTTGAGTATTGTGAAGAAACTTAATGAGAGATGTCGCTTAGACTCCGCGCAAAATTAGAGATTGTGCTAACCTAGCAACAAAAATAATTTCGACAATCCCTTCACGCGGATTTTTTGAATGATCAATTCCTGGTACTTTCTTGACGGAATGTAAACACATCGTTCCGAGTTGATAATATAGCAAATACAAAAGTCGCCGTTTCAACAAACGAACGTCAAATTTACATTGACATTTTTTGTAATTCCATGGCGTTTGTCCGTGTTCTAGAGATGCTATGTACTATTATTCACCCATTCTTGTTGTTTTTGATTTCTGTTGTTTATTGTTCGTATACTGAAAACAGATCTGAAACTTAGTTCTTTAGTTCTATGATCGACAACCACGTGGTATGCTGGAAAACTTTCTCAATTCACTTGTCAAATGACGTTCATATGTGAAAAAGGCGACCCCTTCCCCTTGAATTAGCGTCGTCGGTCTTTCCACTCTAACCAATTCTTTTTCAGGTATAAGCGTATGTCCTGTACACATACCTTGCCGCCGTTATAACCGCGGCTTTCGGAAGTCCAGTCGTACCGGAAGTGTAAATGTACACGATGCAATCATGGTGTCCTAATTTGTCTGTTATTTGGGGAGGAGTGGAGGGGGCGTCTTTCAATAGCCTATCTAAATTGTGGAACTTTTGGTCGGTAGTATTGGTTTGGTTGTTGTTACAACTTATCTCGTATAATGCCACCTTTGATTCGATTTTGTCGAGAATCTCTGAGACGGCTGAAAATGAACACACATTGATTAAAACCTTTTTCATAATCAAATCATCACTGATAATCGTTTCAATAATGCTACAAGTATGTAATATATAGAACAATGATGTGAAACGTTACAGATACATTGCACGAACGTAACATTTTGTCTTGTAAGAATGTTACATATAGTAAACGGCTGTACACATAACATACGAGATTGATCTGAGAAGTTTCCAACAATAATTTTTGAGTGAACAAACAAAAAGAAGTCACTTGAAGCTATAGTATAACAATTTTCAATTGAAGGAAACTCATACAAATTGAACTGAGAGCTAACGGCAACAATGTTCAACGTTAGAACTAAATTCTTACCGGAGTCATTTTTATTGTCTATGCATCGCCATTGAAAATAATTGAAAAGTAAGATGAACCATAAAATTTGCCCCCCGTAACAAGATAGCTTCTGCATATCGATAGGATGTACGAGCGAATAGGTGAACCAAGAGTTAAACCCGATAGAATTAATCTGGGCTCAAATTAAGGGTTACATAGCTCGTGAAAACGTGACATATAAAATTTCTGATGTCCAACTTTTATTAGAACTCGCAATGGAACGGATACGGAAAGAAGATTGAGCTAATGCTGTAGCACATGTGATCACGGAAGAAGAGAAAATGTGGAGATTGGACGGGATGGTAGGCACAGTTTTCAACCAAATAATAATAGATTTAAGTGTGACTGGGGATTCCTCTTCGGACGAGTCAATGAATTCTGAAACTTCATAAGCATAACATAGGTAATTATTTCTTTGCTTTGTAGTCCTCTTTCTATATAAAAGGAACATAATGATTAATTTGGAAATTTTTCTGCTTTTTTGAAGTACTGTATTAGGCATAATAAGAAAATGTTTTACCATTGACAACAGGTAGCGCCACCTACTATAACAATTTTTACGTAATTATCTATGTGTTTAAATAAATAAAAATATTATTTTGGTACGCCTCTGCAGAGTTGGTAAGAGGATTATCCGTTGGTCACTTTAAATGCGACGTTGCTAATGAATCACCTTCAATTGAAAATTGATATACTATAGATGTGGTGAGTGAGGTGTCACGTAATAACGCATATTATCCTCTTGTGATGGTTTTTCTTTTTTGAAGATATTGTATTGAAATAACTCCATGGCTATCCCAAAAAACAGTCGACATCACTCTTCCAGCTGAAAAAACAGTTTGTGCTATTTTTGGAGCTGGTTCCTCTTTGCTTTCCACTGTTTGGACTGTATTTTTGATTCGGACATATAATGTTTCATCTACAGCTTATCAAATGCAAGAAGAGCCTTTTGAATTTCGTTACAGTCCCGCCTACTAGATGTACGTTCGTTGGCAGACTATGAGAGCGAGAGAGATAGTTCTCAAGTATCTTTCTAGACTTGACAAGCTGTACATTTATTAATCGTCGTCGAAACTCGGATTTATTGCACCTAAACTGCGCCAATAGAGTGTTGGAAATGTCCATCTGAACTCGTTTTTGGTCTAACATGAGCAAACGCGGCACCCAACGCGTGGACAGCTTTCTCATGCCTAGATGTTGATTCAATATGTGACAAACAGATTCTTTTGACAAGTTCATAACCTGTGCTATGTCTCACTTTAATTAAGCGGTCGTCTAGTGCCATTTGGTAAACTTTGACAATGTTTTCGTCGTTAGTTGCAGTTTTTGGACGTCCTAAACATTCATCGTCTTACAGCCAACTTTAAATTCAGCTGCCTAAAATTTCACTGTGATAAATGCTGATGCAGAGTTTCCATACACATAATCCAACTCGATACTCAATTTTGTCCATTTCAATTCAAACTCACATCAATTAACTCAAACGACTGTTACATAACAACTGCGCGTCCAAAATGGCTGAAACTTTGGTGAGTAACCGTCAACAGACAACAATAAAATTCACTAGCTTTGATTTATGAGTGCTGCCATCTGCATGTTGACTTCGGAAACTTTTCAGACCATGATTAATGAGCTGAGTGTTTTTGAGGAATAACAGAGAAATACTTTGAAAGGTCAGGCTTATTTAAATAATTATCTATCAAATAACTCAAAGACCCTTGCTTTCGGTAGTAAACTTTGACAATGTTTTCGTCGTTAGTTGCAGTTTTTGTCGTCTTACAGTCAATTTTAAATTCAGCTGCCCAAAATTTCACTGTAATAAATGCTGATGCAGAGTTTCCATACACATAATCCAACTCGATACTCAATTTTGTCCATTTCAACTCAAACTCACATCAATTCACTAAAACGACTGTTACATAACAACTGCGCGTCCAAAATGGCTGAAACTTTGGTGAGTAACCGTCAACAGACAACAATGAAATTCACTAGCTTTGATTTATAAGTGCCGCCATCTGCATATTGACTTCGGAAACTTTTCAGACCATGATTAATGAGTTGAGTGTTTTTGAGGAATAACAGAGAAATACTTTGAAAGGTCAGGCTTATTTAAATAATTATCTATCAAATAACTCAAAGACCCTTGCTTTCGGTCAAATAAATGACAAAAAATAACCTAAAAACTACAATCATCAAAATGGCCACCGAATATTTCAATGGACTCAATTATTTGTTGTAAAATTTTGCGAATTTGACAATTTTTTATACAAATGCCGCACTGTAATGTAATGCAATTCAATCAACAAGTTACCTTCTGATAATTCAGTTCCGAAGATGATAGCTTGGCATTTGGCCACAGTGATGGAATGCATCAATGAAATCAGTCTTAAGTTGGTGTTGATCAAAGGAGTGATAACCCCTAGCTTGGAAAGTCCCAGCCATATACAAATGAACTCGGGTTTGTTTTCTAGAAACAGAGCAACCTTATCACCTTTTTTGTAGCCGTGGCTCTTGAAAGTGTTGGCTATCTTATTGCTGTATTCTTCAACCTGGAAAAAAACGGGATGCAAAGAAGGCATTACACGACATCAATACCCAACGCGTTAAAGTACATTATCTTGTATGTCATCCTCTTCTTCTATAAGTGACAAACGAAGACAAGACAGTCAATGTTTGCGTTCAACGAGGGAGAGCTCTTATTTGGGCGCTACCTTACACTCGATACATTGAAGAGAGATGGCTATAGAAACGATTCGGCAACCGATGACGTATCACCGTGCATCGTTTGACAGTTTAATAATGTTTCATTGTCAAGTTGCTACTGCCTACTACACAAATAGTTGTCTGAAAGTGGCTAACAATGTTTCTTGACGACTGACACAGATTCAGACTTCCATTGTCTAAAAGGTTGTTCAGATTTGAAATACTAAGAGGAGCACCACCAGTTTTTAGTGTCACGATTTTCATTCCGGTTTGAAGGCCGTCGATTTTTGGAATTACTTCCTGACGTTCCGCTGCTTCTTCAGAGGTTCATACATCTCGAGTTAATCTCCGATGACTCGTGATAGACCCTAAATGCACAATCAATAGTGCCTTGATGATTCCTCTCTTCGTAGATCGGTAACGGTTGGATTCGTGAGTCAGATACTGTCCCGTGCCAGTTGGTTTTCGGTATACAAATGTTTTCCATATTTTGTAGATCCTCTTCACTTCATTAATTTTCATTTGCTCTTTCTTAGATTTCCAATCTGTTAATACATGTTTAGATAATGGAAGTACGAACTTGATACATTCATAAGCTTTAAAGTAATGGCGAATTTGATGAAATTAACCCGGGGTCGGATCAGTAGCCACGTCTTTTCATTGAAGATGCCTGTGGAAAGATACATTGACCATATTGCAGTTTGCCGTGTATCTTTTTTTTTTATCAAAACACCAGCTCACCTTGATGCTGGTTTTTACGTTATTACCTGAGCAAAAGTCCAAACTTGATCTTCGAAGAGAATGCAAGGTTTGTCGGGGTGTTTTTTTACGTTTTGTCGGAAAACGTCGCCAATCGTTAAATTTCGCCTGTGTAAAGTTTTCATTTGAATAATAAGCTTGATGAATCCGATAAGACCCCTGGAACAAACAGAGGAAATGATATGTGATATGGTTATTACTTAATGTCGGGGATAAGGTTACAAAAGTCTGACAATACATGCATCTAATCAAATAACAAACCAATAAAATAGTTTACGTCAAATTATTAGTTTTATTTACAGGGTTGCTAACGGAAACGAACCAAGTCACACACAAGTTTATTTATGAATGAAAACACTCAGTGCTGGTAAGTTTTCAAATGTTTCGCTCCAAATTCTACAGTTGGATAGGTGCCTCTTTTAGAAGTTCAGGAAATTATCTATTAAGTGTTATTACTTGAGTGAATCTTAACGCCAACGCTGCTGAAAAATTTTTGGAGAAGAACATTGGTAGAACGGTTATTTCTTGCAAAAACTCAAAAAAAAATTTGAATTTTTGACGTTATGAAATAACGACATAATCTGTGATCAATAAGTATATGAAATTTACATTGTCAGTATTTTCCGAAATATACCTTTCACTTTGACCATCAACATCCTGTACATATCACAAGGTATCGCTCTCTGAAATTGATGATAGAAACATCCTGTATTATCTAAATACAAACACTTTTTTTCATACCGGAAGAATCCGGAAATTACTAAAACTGAATCCTTACAACTAAATTAGAGTTCGCGTTTGGTGGCCTAGTTTTCGTGAGGCTGCTACGGATAGTGTTCCCAGATCTGAAGCAGGTCCTGATGTTATACTTGGACCTAATGCTTTTTATCCTTACCGATAATCCTCTGATGTAGGGAAGTACAAGTACTGGTTGTGGCGGCTTCTCTTCCTTGTGGTGTTGCTGTCTTCTAGCTAAGGCCTGTTCCACCATCACTTTAGAGTTACCGTTCCGTTGAGATCTTTTTTGATGATGCCTAGTTCTTTCTTGATACCTTCCTTCGTATTGCAGAGCCCGAAAGCAATATCCACTAGATTATTGATGATTCCTCTTTTATTAGATTGATGGTGATTGGGTTCATGATTCAGATAATATCCCATGTGAGTGGGTTTTCAGTATACAGATGTTTCCCACTTAATGTTGGCCCTCTTCACCAATACGCCTAAGAATGGCAATTCATTGTGGATTTCCTCTCCATTGTGGAAGCAATAGAAGGTTTCACGCTCTTGACATGCTTCAGAAACGTGTCTAGTTCTGTATTTCCATGGTTCCAGACTATGAAGGTGTCATCAACATCTCAATCAGACTTGAGACTTCTTGTGGGCTTCCTCAATGGCCAGAGTTTCAAACCACTCCATTGGCTATGACTGGTGAAAGTGGCGATCCCATTGGCAGTCCCTCATTTCACGTGAAGAATTCGTTCTTCAGTTGGAAATAGCAGTTCTGTACACAGCATCCTAGTAAGTCCATGATTAGTTCTATAGGTAAGTTAGTTGTATTTTCCAGATCCTTGTCTTCGGATAGCTTCCTCTGTATGATTTGAAGTGCTTTTTCTACAGGAACGTTGATGTAACGGCTTTCCACGTCGAAACTGATTAATTGATATTGCTCCATGACTGCGATTGCCTCTAGTAATCCGATAATGACTTGAATTCTTCACAAAAGATGAAGTTTTTTCTTGTAGTGGTTGTATAATTGAAAGTAAAAATCTGGACAAGTTTTCAGTAGCTGAATTTCTGGAACTAATGATTGGCCTAAGCTGAACACCCTTCTTGTGGTTTTTGGGTAGGCCATATAGTTGAGAGAGTTACTGTTGGGCGGTGCTAGCGATGATCTCTCCTTTTCCTCAATTTCCTCAATCATATTAGACAATGGAAGTCCGAACTAATAAAAATCAATTCAATTCTAAGCACATGACCGCTGTTTGCCTATCTAAATCCTCGTTCCACGGCTGGACGTTATTTCACTATCGATTTAACAACACAACAAAAGAAAACAGTCACTGTAAACAATGTTGAGAAGTAAAGAAAATCAGAAAAAAAAACTGGCGTTGAGTATTACTGTTGTATTTTGCAAGATGTCACATTCGTTTGTTTACTCTAACATGACCCAACTTTATTTTGTTCAAACTTGCATTTGCTGTAATAACCCAAATTGAGGAACATTCCCCATTCGCTCTGATTGGCGTTCAAGATATCAAGTGGCTTGTACTTTGTAGTTTAATTTTACCATAATATTATTAATCTCGCTCATAATAATACAATAAATGCATGTTTTGTAATGCATTAATAGGGGTTCTTTAAACAAATACATAATTTTTACTTACTTTCATTGTGTCTAATGAAATTTTGTTTCATCTGATGAAGAGATGACAATTTTTGCAAAACTGAGACGGTTAATATTAATGCTCTAGAAATTGTTTTCAATTGGAAATTTGTGTTCCAGTCTTTCTTGTCCGGAAGATGCTACAAACATCGTGTTGAACGGTTGAAACGACAAAATTAATGAAACTAGACACCACAAGGATGACCCGATTCATTATATGTCAGACTGTACTATTCCTTATTTCTGCCGAATACCACACAACTTTTCTATCGCATAAGTTGATATTCAGTAATAACAAATCTTCCGTCGTAAATGTATACCAGACCAAAGTTCAAAGAAATGGATGATATCTATTATATTCCACCTCGACTTAACTAGTTCCTGACGACAATGAAGTATGTGACGTGTAATATTAATACGTTAGTGGAACTATACTAGGTGATATACAAATAAAGTACCTATCCGAAAAAATTGATTGGGTTTTCTTGATAGAAAGCGTGGAACATTTCATATATTTACTGTTTCACCTGAATGACGATAAATCAGAATTTTTGTACTTTTTGTACTTTTGATGTTAGGAGTAATCGTGTTATTTTGTATACTTTCATCCTAACCTAATTTTTTACCAGTTTTTTGAGCTGTTTTATAGTATTACACATATCACGGTGAATCCGGGGCCAAAACAGGCCAACTGAACATTTTTATGTCATGAAATTGGCATAACAACAAAGACAAAACTTCAGTGTCGAATAAACCAGGAGTAAAGTATATGTTAACTTGTGGCCATTGCCCAAAACTTTATATTGGCCAAACGGAGAGAACCTTTTCCCAAAGAATTAAAGAGCATATAAATAGTTCATTGAATAAGCAGACCGGTTCAACATTTGAAAACCATCATTCATTGACGTTTTACAATTACAAAAGAAAAATTTAAAACTGTATCTTTTAGAATGCTTAGAAATATATAGATTTGGGCATTCTGGTCACTTACCAAATGGCTGAATAGCATTAAATAACTCCCCGTAACTGAATATTTTTCTAAATGTGAAAACTAGTAATTAACTGATACATACGCTCAGGTAATTTCATTTATTTAAAAAAGTTTGTATACTTTCTCTTATTTTCTTATGTTATTCGATTTATTCCCAAACTCAGGTAAACTTTTTTTAACATTACCTGATACTTGATATTCAGCTACTTCAAATTGTAAAATATATACAAAGCATTGAATATGTAAATTTGAGTTAGCATAGAAACGCCTGAAGTAGTCATTGTATGGCGAAACACGTGTTGCGTGTTTCTTGAATACGTTATCGATTTTCGGCAAATTACAATAAATTTCAACACATCATGGGGGCTGTATTATACTTTATGGGATACTCACGAATTTTCGCGATTTTTTTCAGGGATGATAGGAATTCAGAACACTTTTAATTTTTTGTCGGACTCAATCAGTTTTCGAGATATAACCTGTCAAAGTTTGTATGACGTCATGTTTTACCTTCTTTTAAAGGCAATAAACGATTGCAATTCACATATTTTTTAATTTAACACAACTTTTTCCATATCGTCGCACCGTTTTCTATCCCTTTTCAATCACTTACTGCCGAGTTTCCTGAAATTAGAATAAAATTCCATAATTTATCAGGTGCACACGAATCACTTCTTATAAATTGCATTAAGTTTCACTATAAGAATATACTCACAGGTCAGGTAAGATGTTGAGAATAGATCGGTTTTAAAATTCTAAAGTAAGGTTAGACTGAGTTAGATTAAGTCGGGTTAGGTTGAGTTAGCATGTGAGGAATTACGGAATTTGAATCTAATTTCAAAAAACTTGGCAATAAGTGAATGAAAAGGCATAGAAAAAAGTGCGATGGTATGGAAAAAGAACTGTTGAATAAAAAATATGTGAATTGCAATCGTTTATTGACACCATACAAAACTTTGACAGGCTATATCTCGAAAACTAATTGAGTCTGACAAAAAATAAAAAGTGTTCCAAATTCCTACCATCACGTAGTATCATCACAGAAAAGATCAGTTTATCAGATGAAATAATTTTATAAAGTATCTTCTGGGAGTCTAGACGTTGAATAAAAGTGAAGAAACTAAGAATTTGCATGATTTATATGGTTTTGGGTAATTTTTGTTAAAGTATAAGTTTATAAATTTGTGCCCTTGCATGTATTTTTTTCCAATTCTAATGTTTTCGTCTCCGCACAAGTTGTATATTGTCGTACAAGTTTTTATGTTCAAGTAACTTTTCAGTACATTTCTTCAAATAAAGTATCATTATCTTCCTATTGCACCAAAACAATAAGGAATGACCCTGTAAAAGAACAAAATCAGATCAATCGTACCAACCAATATCACAAAAAGGAGAAGCGAGATTTGAATAATTATGGCTCACCCTCTATACGTTGCGACTTTGGTCGGATGTAACAAGGTTCCTATGAAAACTGTTACATATTACTTATCGTTTTTGCCTCGACCATGCCCCGTTAAATCGAAGCTCACCGAAAACTAACGTCATATCCTTGACCCCGAACAGTAACCTACAAAAACAACAAACTCACCGTACATCCCTGGGCAGCGTCCTCAAGGCCACATAGCACCACCGCCACTTCCCGGCCGCTAAGTAGGCCACCAGACAGACAATTACCAACTGCACCAGAAAAATCCACCCCAAATAAAAGCCTATAACGGCCCCAAGGCCCGCTAAGATCGCCAATACCACTGCCATGGCCACGAATCGTCGTAGCAAGACACGTACTGGTCTAACTTTGGATGCTCTTCTGGGCGTTGCGGCGGTTTTCCGTTTACCAGGTAGGTCGATTACTTCGATGGGTCGTTTACCTGTTTCTACGTCCACTGAATCGCGAACGATGGATGCCTGGAGAAATTGGAGAGTTTTTAGGTTATATTGTTGTGAGGAGGTCAGCAACACTCTTAACAGAGCTATGTTATACCGGAAGTGTACGGTTGGTTGCCTAACGCAAAGCCATTCAGTGACAGAGTATCGCTGTAGTAGTCCAGTCAAAATAAGTAAAAAAAGTGGTAAATTTGCAACTATTTGCATATAACTGATAAATAATTATTAGAGGTCCTGAACATAATTATAAGTATCCAAAACAAGCATTTTCTTCAGTCACCAAAAATGCAAGAAGGTGAAGAAAACGTTCTTCAACTTCTTAAATATGTTTTTTCCGTTAACCGGTTTAAGACGCTAATTTGGTTGGTGATCGCGTCGAGAAGAGTATTTTATTTCTGGTGATAGGTAAAAGTGCTTGTGTTTGGATTCATTTCACGCCAGAGGTTCCAATTTTACCTTTTGACTTATTTAAGGTCAAAAATCATAAATATAAGTTGAAGAGTTATCGTAAAAATAGATCAAATGGAAGTTGTAGATCATTAATTGGCAAAATACATGATATTTCTGGTGATAGGTAAAAGTGCTTGTGTTTGGATTCATTTCACGCCAGAGGTTCCAATTTTACCTTTTTTACTTATTTAAGGTCAAAAATCATAAATATAAGTTGAAGAGTTATCGTAAAAATAGATCAAATGGAAGTTGTAGATCATGAATTGGCAGAATACATGGCAAATGTTTACGTTTGATTTTCACTACATGAAGTTGATTGACAATATTTTCATACATGCCATAATTATGCCGTTATATTGAAAGTGGGGAAAATAACTTCTACGATGTCATAGCGAATGGAAATGGTCACTTGTGATATATCGTTGAATAAATAATTTTATGTCCTATCAAATGGCCTTAAATATATGCAAGGTTTTATCTGAAATTCTTGACTTAGATTAATTTTGAGTTGAACTGGTATAGACTTTCAGTTAATTTCGGTTGCCACCCGGTATACATCATCAGATGTTTTATATAAGTGAAAACAAGAGGATCTATCATGATAATGCGGTGTATCCTGTCAAGTTCATGTTTTACGATATTAGCGGACTGTGACTACAAAAAAGTTGGATTATTTTGTGTACCAATATGTACTGTACAATATATCAAGGCCAGCCTTGATCTCATATTATGTAAAAGACAATCAAAATCATATTTTTCCCATGAATAATTCAATGCAGTTCCTTCATAATCATTATTTTGTATCTTTTGAGAATTAAATGTCCAACTATCTTTCTAATAGTATCATTTCAGTTTAATTTACACTTGTTTGGTAATGAAAGAGCCATTTCTGTCTTGATTTATCATGTGCAGATGTTTAATTTTCTGCCATTTGTTAGATTAGATAGTAAGTTCTTTTAATTTTTCCCACTCTCCATCTCCAGTTAGATCTGAGAATTATTAATTTAGTGACGTAACGTAGGTGCGTTTGAAAGTATTCAATTTTTTTGGGTTCGTTCTGATTTGTCATTTAGTAGTCTGTTTTGGGTTAGGTGGAAGAACAGATTGCAGTACATATTTTTCGGTGCCGATTACCATACCGAATCTCGCCCTTTTACTTTTTTAGTTTACATGTATGAATATAACTGAAAATTAATAAAAGACCTTTATTATCATTATTATCTCTTGTACTGAGCATTTATTATTATATACCTATCAGGAATACCTTGTTAAACAAAAGCGCCAAGTTACTACCTCTTTTACAGACAATTGCATGTTTGCAAATTTCATCTGGCCTATTTTCAAGATAATACTTACAATACAAAAAATGATAAACAGTGTACTAATTTTCAGATCTATGCGAAATATTTGTAAACTGAAATGTATATTTTGACTGGACTAACGACAAATCTAATGTATCGAGCATACGATTGGTTGCCTAACGCAAAGGTTGGTATATAGCCTCATAAACTCGTTTGTGTAGCAAGCACACAGCAATCTATGGAAATTAGGTCAATTATTTGTATATCAAGTATCGTTTTGATAGCTCTTACCATTTCGTAAATTCAATATAAGAGTTACTTTGACTTACAGGCGTTAAGTAGGAGAATAAATATCGTGCACAATTATCAACACAATTCAATGAGGTATGATACATGGGGTAAGCATGTGATTATTCAAATTCAAGTCGGTAATTTGANTGCTGCTGTCACCAGGGCCGGATTTAGGGGAGGGCAGGCGGGGCTACTGCCCCGAAGCCTCCACAGGAGAAGGGCCACCACAATAAAGAATAAAAAAAATCTAAATTTCGACGGGTCGGCAACTTTTACGTTTTTTCTCTGAAACATTTTTTTCTATTTTCACTGGGAATACTTGCACAAACATGATAACATTGTTATCGATATATCAGAAAGCCCTGATTGCTTTCCATTCATTATCAATTAATGGGCCTACCCTCTTTCGTTGCCTCAGGGCCGTGTCACAAATCAATGAAAACGATGGCAAAGTTGCATAATTGGGCTTTGAATTGCTTAAGCATCCACCGTATACTCCAGATCTGTCCCTCAGCGACCTTTTCCTGCTCCGATGAAGACAAATCGTACTATAAAAACGGTATCGAAAAATTCTATGACCGCTATAATCAGCGGCGACTATATTACATATTAAAACCCAATTTTATAAAAAAAAAATAAGAAAAGGGAATTGAAATTTTCTGTTTTTTACCACTTTTATTTGTAACTAACGTTACTGCAGTTTCGTTCAATAAGAACATTTCCAAACTTATACATTAAACTAACAATGATTGATTACATTAGCCCTTGTAACACTACTGTAGTAATGGTACTTAGCTTGATTGAGTACCTGAATTTTGCAAATTTTGACCACATTGTTCCACATAAACACTGTTACACTCCGGATACTTAATTTTATAAACTACAGATTTCTCCAACTTGTCCACTTTATCTTTGACATTGAAAAGGAAATCAGATAACCTGGCATGTGGTCTGAATGTCACTTCCAGATTGATTTAAGTGTACTATTGTCAACAATATTCACCTTACAGTTCTTCGAATTATTTTGTGTCATGGCTGCAAGATTGAGCGTAAGAGGGAAAATTGAAATTGTACGCCTTTCGGGAGATGACGTTAGAAGTGCTAGAGAGGTTTGTAGAGTATTTAATGAGAGACATCCA